CCTGCCCCCTTTGTCCATGTCCYGCCCTCTGGCCCACGAGCCCCTCTGCCAGCATCTGCCTCTCCAGCCTTGCCTCTCCCTTCCATGCTCTGCCCCTCCCCTCCCCACCCCTCCTATCTGCCAGCCGTCCTCTGGTCCTGCCCTCTCCCCACTAGCCCTACCCCTCACCCGCAAGCCCCACCCCAGCCCTGCCCCTTGCACCTCTCTCTGCAGAAGAACGAGTACCTKCTCACGGTGGTGGCGGAGGAGAGGGATGTGCTACTGCTCGGCCTGCGGTACTCGTCCACCCATCTGCACTTCCTGTTCCTCAGCGAGGACACGGCCGGCGCCTGGCAGACCCGCGTGTCCTTCCGCAGCGCCAGCCTCATGGACAGCCAGTGGCACACGCTGGTCTTGGCAGTATCTGCAGGATCCTTTTCCCTCATCGTGGACTGCGGCCTCCCGGTGGACATGTAGGTAGCAGGACATGGGGTTTGCCSGGGTTCTCACTGTGTGCTGTGCCTGACCAGCCCATCCCAGTGGCCGCCTGGCTGCACCTTGCACTGTGCTGAGGGCCTGGGCCCAGGAGCAAGCCCACTCCTACCCCTGCCCCAGTGGRCCTGGCTGGTCCCTAGTCAGGCCAGCTTGTGAGGAATGCTGTTAGGAGCTGTCSCCTCAGCAGGTCACCACTGAGAGACTTTCGGCAAGGGCTGTCACTATGGCTGACCTCTAAAGGGCCACAGCAGGTGGGGGCCAGGGAGACTGGACAGAGGAGAGCTGGGGCCGGCTCTGCTGGGCAGGCAGGAAAGGATAGCTAGCTAATGCAGGGAGGCTGTGGGCCTGGGGGGTAGGATGTGCACCCAGCATCCAGGATACATGCTGTATGGTGTGAACCCGTGTTTTCACCTTAAACCACAAAACTCACTGCTTGGCAGAGAACCAGGGGCTTAAAACCAGGTAGAGATCATCACACCATGTGRCTCTCCTCTTTCTGGACCTAGCTGAGGGTCACAGGCAGGGGAATGTGCCGAGTGTCCCTGACATTATTGAGGTGGCCGAGGAAGTCAGGAGCTCAGCACCAGGCCCTGCCTGGCCTCTGGCTTAAATATGGCACCTTCCTCGTCCAGGATGAGGGAGTGGCTCACAGAACCCCAGGCAAACGTGCTACAGTGTCCACCGCAGCTTTGCATATGACCAGGGCATTTGGCAGCCTGACCATTTCTCTCCCTTGGCCACTGTGACCTGATGGTAGCACACTGGCCTGGGGAGCACCCGTCCCCAGGCTCTGCCAGCTGATGTGACCTGTGACACCCTCACCAGCCATAGCTGCAGAGGGACTGGCAGTCTAACTTCAGATGATCCCATGTATATTAAATCTGTACTCTCTTCCTCCGTTTTGTTATTATGGAATTTACTTCGTAGTAAGAAGAACCTGTGACCTTTTCAGGTGTAGTTTTAACACAKCTTACCTCCCACCTTCCCCCAAAATTCATTTGGGCTCTTAGTAGGACAATGACATCTTGGGTCTCCAAGAGCCAAGAAGCCCATTCCCTGGTCACTCTCAGGCAGCCAGGGCCTTACAGAGAGACCCTGCACGGCCTARGTGGACCTGGACCAGCACTGGCTCCCCCGGCAGAAGAAAGCTGGCTTGGCTAGACGGGAGCCTCACCTGCCCTCTGGGTYTGCCCAGCACCTGGGAGCGAGGGGACACCCCTGATGTGCAACAGAAGGGGTTCAGGGCCAAGCCCAGCGAGAGGCACTCCCTCCCCAGAGGGGCCTCAGGCAGGACTCTCTGCTGGGGACTCTGGGAAGGGACTTGAAGCTGAGCCTGTTTCCCAGGAGTGGCCAGGAGCCAGTGGGACCCTGCAGGCTGAGGCCTGGTGGGCAGCTCCTGTGCTGCATCCTCACCGCTCTGTCCCTCCTGGCTCATCAGTCGTGAGGCCCTGGTGCCGCGAGGGCCCCTGCAGGCCTGCTGCCTGTCGAGCAGCAAGAACAGCTGTGAAGAAGGGTGCAGGAGGCCTGGCCAGGGCAGTGGGGCTGCAGGGTGGGGTGCMTGTGGCCATGGAAGACTTGAGCCTTCAGGCTGCACGAGCCCCACAGGCCACCACCGAGTGCCAGGCGCAGGGTCCCAGAGCCTGCGGAGGCTGGGCTGTGCACTAAGAACAGGCTTCTGGGGCAGCAAGCCAGAGCTGGCCTCACCYCCCAGCTGCAGCTCCATGGCTACAACCAGAGGGGCAGGTGCTTCGAGAGGACAGTGGACCACAGCTGTGAGCCCTGAGGACRCCCCTGCTTTCCCACCATGGGCTCTGGCCACACTGTCCCCTCCACTGGGTGCCCACCTTCCTGCCTCCCGAGTTCAGCCCTGGCTCCCCAGGAAGTGATTCCAAGCCTGTGCATGGGTGACATGCTCTGGGGAGTGTGGGTGGGCTGGGGACCCAGTGCAGTAGAAGCCACTGGAAGTTCACCCTGGGCATCTCTTCTCCATGAGCTTCGTGGGAGACCCTTGTCCCCAAATTCTTGTCACCTGGCGCCTGTGAGTGCCTTCTGTGGAAGCAGGACTTCTAGTCACGTCTCCATGAGGTCGTCCTGGGTCTGGGCGGCTCCTTACAGGGAGACAGAGATGCAGGGAAGAGATGGCGAAGGAGGGAGACAAACTGGAGAGACGCAGCCACCAGCCAAGGAGCCCAGGGCCACCGGGGCTGGAGGGGGGAGGGCAGTCCTCCTCGGAAGCATGGAGAAAGCGCAACCTGCAACAGCTGGACCTCRGTCTCCGGCCCCCAGACCGAGGGCCACATTTCTGGGCATCAAGCTGCCGCCCGTGGCCCTTGTCATGGCACCGRGGACGGTGATGCTCCTCTCACCCGGGCTCACCTTTCCTTCTGTAAACACACGGAGGACGTCCTGCGCTTCTCTGCCCTGAGACCATCTTCTGATGCTTGCAGAATGGCTGACGTGCCCTTCCCGGCCACCCTTTCAGTGCGAGGGGCCCGGGTCTTTGTTGGCAGCCGGAGGAGGACCAAAGGCTTGTTCACGGTGAGTGCGGAGGGCTGCCTCCCCCCAGGGCTCAGGGGCTGTCCCACGTCTGTGCTGTGAGGCTGTGACTAGAAGATTGTCCTCTGCCCTGATGGAGCAGGGTCCGAGGTGTGGTGAGGCACCTGGGCCCTCCTGCCGCCCACAGCCCCTCTGCTCTGATAAGGTGCCGCCACGTGCCCCCTGCGCCTCCCCGTGCTGTCTGGGGGCCTCATTCCTCCAGAGCCGTGTCCACAGCRTCTGGAAGCCTGCCTGGCGYRTGGCAGGTGCTCTGTGAAAGTCTACCCGTGGGTGCTGGGACGGGTGGATGAGTGGAGGGACAGGCCAGATGGGCAGGTGGACAGATGAACAGATGGCTGGCTGGACGCTTGCTGGGTGGATGGGTGGATAGATGAATGTGGGCAGTTGGGTGGGGACACAGGAATGGAGGGAGGGAAGGACAGAAGGATGGGCAGTGTAGCCTGGTCACTCCAAGTCAGCCCATGTGGAAAGCCCTCCCTGGGTCAGCCACCTGAGAAGGTGCAGGTCACCACTGCTCCTGTGACAGACGTGCCGCCCTCCTCCCGACTCTGCAGGCTAGACTCCCCGCAGCCCGCGCCTCCATGGGCCTGACGGGCAAAGCCTGGCGCCCTGCCCGAGCACCCGTGAGCTCTGAGCCAGCTGCCCCCCTCTCTGCAGGGCCTGGTGAGGCAGCTGGTCCTGCTGCCGGGCTCGGATGCCACCCTGAGGCTGTGTCCCAGYAGGAATGCCCAGCTGGCCGAGCTGTCCATCCCACGGGTGCTGCAGGGGAAGCCGGGTGATAACGAGGTGCTAAAATACCCCTATGGTGAGTAGCGAGGCCAGTGCCCCCACTCCAGGGGAGACACCCCAGAGCCTCGGCACCGAGTTGGGGCTCCCAGCGCAGCCTTTCCCAGTTCTCACTTCTCCATGGCAGGAGGGTAGCTGTCAGGTTGGCAGAGAGAGCACTCAGGCCCCTGCCCCAGGSTCACCAGACAGGCCAGCACGTCTCCCTTCTCTCCAGGGCCCCTGCCTGGACAGACCATCGCCCCTCCTGGGGACCCCCCAGCCGACRGCAGACTCTGCTCCTGGGAGAAGGGCTTCCCCCTGCAGAGCCCTGAGCCACGCTGGAGCTGGTTCCCACCCCTCTGTCCAGCAGCCGCCCCCAGCCCCGCCCTGCCAGGACCCCGCTCTTGAGGGGCACCTTGTTTTCATGAGCCCAGCCGGGCGTCTCCTGGGTGTGCCCCCTCAGGTGGACTGGCATCATCTGATGTCGAGTTGAAAGCTGGCCTGTTCATTAGAATCTCGCTCTGCCAGGTCCCCAAGGTGCTGTGGGAGGAAGGTGGGGTGGGGCAGCCTGGCCCCGAGGCTCAGGGTTCACCWGGCAGGGAGCCGCACCCAGCAAGTCCTGGGAGCCACCACGCCCAGCTGCTGCACAGACATCCACAGAAGCCATGAGGCAGCTGGATGAGCTTGGCCCCAGCCAGGTGTGGTCAGCGGCGTGGTGAGGTCAAATGCTGAGCCAAGCTGCGCTGTAGTCAGCTGACTGGAGCCCAGGGAGGCAACCSGAGGGCAGACAAACCAGTGCCGGTTACCTAGGGCTCCCAGAGGGCAYGGGCAAAGGGACAGAGAGCCCAGCCTTGGGTGGACAGAGGGCAGGTCCGCTGGTGGCACGGGGAGCGTCGCAGTGTCCTGCCATGCAGGAAGCCTGGGGTGCACCTCCGTGCTGGGGAGCCCACCTGTGATGTGGCCGCAAGACGTCCAGGAGCCCCTTCAGCCRGGTGCAGAGGCGGGGCAGGACCCCCTGGTGGCCCTGCATCCTCCTGAGGGAGCCTGTGCACGGACATGCCTCCTCCCGGTTCCCCCTCAGAGGCAGACATGAAGGTGACGCTGGGGTCCCGGCCACCRTGCACCAAGGCACAGGATGCCACGTTCTGGTTTGACGCTGTCAGGAAGGAGCTGCACCTGTGTGCCAGCAGCCAGTGGGTCTCTGTGTTGGCAGGTGAGGCCGGGCCGGGGACTCGGGTGTCCCTGTCCCACGGTGCCCTGCRCATGCAGGGGTCTCCAGCAGGAGGTGACCAGGGAGGGAGGAAGTGAAGGGTGAGCACCTGGACCAGGCTGGGACACCTGGGAGCAAGTGAGTGGAGGGGACCTAGGAATGACCCTGGGAGCAGGTGGCAGCAGGACTCCCAGGCAGACCAGGGCAGGCCCTCCCTGAGGCCAAGCGTGCCCACCTGGGCTGTCCTCAGAGCCCACCTTGCTCAGGATAGGACACTGACCCCCTCAAGGAGCTTCCAGCCACACATCCTGGGGTGATGCCTGGGCCAGCGGGGCTGGACACCTCTCTTTCCAAAAAGAAAGAGGGCATAGGAGGCGAGCACAGGGCCTCTGTGACCCTGGCCTCTGGGCATCCTGGCCCTCGCCTTCCCTGTCCACTGGACCACAGGTAAGATGCAAGAGAGCCAAGCACCCAGAGGTGCTGTTTGGACGCGAGCCTTTGACAGGGAGGTGAGCGGAGGCCAGATGGTTGCTCCTGGTCGGGCTGCCGCAGGAAGTGGGAGCCGGTGTCCGCGAGGTGTGTGCGCCACGGACTCTACCTCTGACCTCTGGACCCAGGGCACAGCCTGTAGAGCAGGGGCYGGGGGCTACTGCAACAAGGACAGATGCATGCATTTCATCCTGTGGGTGTCCCGGCGCCCCTCAGGCCACAGCCCCCGCAGGAAGGAGCGGCCTCCCTTTGACAGGCCTTTCCCATGTCACTCCTTCATGACAACCAACGCCCTGGGCCAAGACCCGGGGCGTCCAGTGGACCGTCCAGCTCCTGCTGCTGGTCCTGCTGACCTGGCACCATCCTCCTTCCACAAGCCAAAGCCAAGCTGGACTACGTGGAAGAGCACCAGCGCCTGCCCACCAACTCGGAGACGCTGGGCCTCGAGGTCTTCGGCATCCCCGGCGTGGGGCTCTTTGTGGCCGCGGCCAATCGGAAAGCCAAGTCCGCCGTCTACAAGTGGACGGATGGGAAGTTCGTCTCCTACCAGAACATCCCCACACACCAAGCCCAGTCCTGGCGGCACTTCACCATCGGGAGAGAGGCAAGTGCGCGCCCGGCCGCCCTCCCTGCAGCAGAGCAGCCTCAGCGTCCAGGCTCGGGGCTCCGAGCCTCTGCAGGGTGGCCTTGTTCAGTGGGGAAGGGCGCAGAGTCCTGCACTGGGCTGAGGTGTCTCCAGCTCCCCTCTGTCCTCTGGACCCAGGGCACAGCCTGTAGAGCAGGGGCCRGGGGCTGCTGCAGCAAGGGCAGATGCATGCATTTCATCCTGTGAGTGTGCTGGCACCCCTCAGGCCACAGCCCCCGTGGGAAGGAGCGGCCTCCCTGCAGGACCAGCAGGACCAGCAGTGACAGGCCTTTCCCATGTCACGCCTTCATGACAACCGACGCCCTGGGCCAAGACCCGGGGTGTCCAGTTGGCCGTCAGCTCCTGAGCGGAAGGTGGCCGCTTCCCAGGCGCYGTCTGGCTCTGGGGATGGCCGCAGGCCGACTGAAAGCCCTGCCGAGGCACTTCCCCAGCCAGTCAGCGGCACTGTCACTGCAGAGGGAGAGGAGATCTGTGTTCTCACCCATAGACGTCGAGGATGCGTCAGGTCCAAATGGACAGTGAGGGCCAGGCCCAGGAGGCCGGGGGAGACCTCAGGGCAGGCAGCCCTTCCAGCCAGGCTGGACAGAGGGCAGGGTCTGGGCACAGTGGGCCTGAGGGCCTGGGTGCTGCCGTGGGTGCTACTCTTCCCAGCTCCTCACACCCCAGATGGCAGCTGGGCCCTCACCTGGACTCTGGGTCAGGCCGGACAGCACCCCTGGCCTCCTGCTGCTCACATCGCCCTGGGCCAGCACATCCAAGGCCCAGGACAGTGAATGMATAACTAGCTCTGTTTTGCAATTGGTTGATGACATTTCAAAAGTTTTCAGTTTTTATGACAAAAGTTAATATTAAGGCTCACATCAGAGAACATTCAGACATCCAGAAAAATGGGGGAACACCTCGACCYGTCACCTGGGTAGAGACGCGTTTGTCTGTCCATCTGCCCCTGCRCACTGGAACAAGAGCTGCGCCCGCCTGCTGCCCTGCTGGGTCCCATGCCACACGAGGGAAGCCCAGGCAATGTGTGTCACGGCCAGCACCTGGCACACAGTCACACTGGACCCCTCCCGGGGGCAGGCCATCAGCACGCCCCCCACCCTTGCAGGTCGGGGACGGTGCTGTTGCACATGCAGTGCTTCCTGAATTGGGGGCTGGGTTGGTCTGTGGCCTTCAGATAGAGATAGACCTGCAAGTGATGGACGGAGGCATGGGCGTGTTGGAGGAGACTGAAGCGCTGGCCACGGGCTCCCTCCCCACKGCAGCCCTAACAGAGGTGGGCTCCGCCTCAGGCCCCCAGGCCTGCTCCCCTGGATGCGGGGGAGATGCCGTGAGCCGAGGCTTCGCAGCAGACCCCAGCAGCCATCGGAGGGCGAGCTCACCTGGCTCATCTCTTGCAGATCTTCCTGGCCGTGGCTAACTTTGGACCGAATRAGAAGGGTCAAGAGGTCTCTGTCATTTACAAATGGAGCCACAGAAAGCTGAAGTTCACCCCATACCAGAGGATTGCCACCCACAGCGCCCGCGACTGGGAGGCCTTCCAGGTGGACGGGGAGCACTTCCTGGCAGTGGCTAACCACCGGGAAGGTAGGCCAGGGCTGACCCAGAATGAAGCCCTTCTGTGGYGGAGCATGGCCTCATGCAGGGCGCTCATTGAAAGAGGATGAGCCCGACCCGGCCTGGGCTCCACTACCTGGCTCGGCCGTGTGCTGGAGGGTCTCTTGGGCACAGTGCTGCTCACCTGCCCAGGAGAGGAAGGGTCCTGCCTGGTCCCTGCCTGCAGAAGGCCCCATGAAATTCGGGGCTGTGTTCTGCCTTTCCCCCCTGGGGAGGGGTCGGCGGGTGCAGGAGAGCAGGTGGGATGCTGGACGGCAGGCCAGGGGCCGCCACGGGGTGTTGGCTGGTGGGCGGGGTCGCGGCCACAGGAGGGAGGGGATGTGGACGTTGTCGTAGCTCTGGGCGCAGACCGCATGCAGTCTGGGGGTGGGTGGCAGCGTGGCCCAGGAGGGGCCAGCTTGTGCCTGAGCGGCTGTTCCCAGTCCTGAAACTCCATGGTGGGGGCGAGCTCCAAGGTGACAGCCCACCCTACAGGGTACCGCTGACCTGGGCCTCCCTGGGCTACACGCCTCAGCACTCACCTGGTCAGCCATCTCCASACTGGGGAGGAGCCCCAGCTCCTGGGCGCAGAGGAGCCCAAGAGTCCAGTAGCCCGTGTCCCCTAGGGTGAGTGCTCCAGCAGGGCAGGCTGGGAACACCATGRGCGAGGGCTCTGGGCAGGGGCAGCGTGGTGTGGGAAGGTCTGACCTGTGGGACAGGCGCTGTCCCCAGGCCCTGGAGGCCACAGTRGGCAGTGGAGCCTTCTGGAGAGTTCCTTCTGGGAACAACAGCCGTGAAGGCCCGGGGGCTGGCACGGGGACCTGATGGGCCCAGCGGGTGGAGACAGGAGAGCAGAGGTGGCCGTCCGTGCCCTGGCCAGAGCAGAGGGGTGCAGGGGCCTGGGCAGGTTTACGGGGAGTCCTCTGCTCCCCAAYGCTGACCCTGGTTCCAGGTGACAACCACAACATTGACAGCGTCATCTATAAGTGGAACCCCAGCACCCGGCTCTTCGAGGCCAACCAGACCATCGCCACGTCCGGAGCCTATGACTGGGAGTTCTTCACCGTGGGGCCCTACTCCTTCCTGGTGGTGGCCAACACCTTCAACGGCACCTCCACCAAGGTGCACTCGCACCTGTACATCTGGCTGGTTGGCTCCTTCCGGCTCTTCCAGTCCTTCCTGGTGAGCACCGTCAGCCTCCASCGCTTGCCTGTCCACCACCAAGTCCCATCAGCAGCATGTGCCTGTTGGACCCCGGTGACGGGAGAGAGGGGCCCGAAGGGCCCACTGGTATGGCCCAGTGACGGCCACACCAGCATGGCCCTGGACCCTCAGTCCTTGGACCCAGTGCCTCCCCTGCTGGACCGGCTCCTCCCCAGCTAAGGAGCCCCTGCCCGCGTTGCCCTGTGTGGGGTCTCTGTGGCAGAGCAGTGCAGGCACTCACTGGAGCCCCTCCCTGCCCTCCTGCCCAGGTCTGGTTCCTGTCTCCAGCCCAGGGGCAGCCGGGCAGCTTGCTCTGACYTGGCGGCATGGGGACGGGGTGGGGCGGACGTGTTGCTTTTAGATCAGGTTGTCCCTTGGTGGCTCCTGTCCCTATGGGCTGGCAAGACCTCAGTGTGGAGCAGCAGCAAGCACTTGGCCAAGGCGGGAGGGGTCCTTCTCRGCGGCCCAGGAGGCAGCCGCGGCAGTGGAGGGCCATGCTCGCTGGGACAAGTGGGACTGCCCAGGTGGAGGCAGACATGCTGGGCAGAGGGTGGTGACCATTAACATCAGGCTGCGTCTGAGCGGTGGCAGTGGGTAAGGGCAAAAATGTCCCCGCAGAATCCTGGCTATGTTCCCAGAGGAGGGCAGGCCCAAGGGTAGGCRACGGTGCCTGAAAGAAGAGCAGGGCCAGGCAGGACAGCAGTGCGCKTGAGAGCAGAACCGCCCCGGGCCTGAATGCGCTGAGCAGGGGAGGTGTGGCTCTGCAGGGACCTTTCTGGAAGGGCCCGAGAGCAGCTGGGGGCTGTGAAGAACTGTGCCTGCAGAGCTGGCGGGCCTCGGGCTCAGGGCAGGCATTCCCGGACCCTGTGGGTACCTTCAAAGGAAGCCGGGGCACCCGGGTCCTGCCGCCCAGGGCYGGGCGAGCGGGAGGCTGTCCATCAGCCTGGGAGGCAGTTGGAGGGCGCACAGGTCAGCTCCTGGCTCCAGCCCCTGGGCATGCACCAGGAATTCTGGGACCTGCCTCCACCACCTGGGACCAACGGAGGAGCCAGCTCTGCTGGGAGATCCAGCCTCCGCTGCTGGCCTCTGCTGCCGCCTGAAYAGGTCACTGGCCCTGGCCTAGGTCTTCCTCAGCCCATTTCTCGAGGTTACAACGGTGAATCGAGTGGGGCAAGTCGTAAGCAAGGGGTTTAATCGGCACACGGTTTTGGAGGTTGAAGTCCATGAGCACAGGGCCTGCCCCTGCCAGGCCCCTGGCCAGGCCCTCGGGTGGAAAGCAGAAGGCAGGCGGTGCGTGCAGGACAAAGCGTCCACAGGACCTGTGACCACAGCAGTGGGGAAGCGGTGGTCCAGAGTGGAGCAGGACAGGGTGGGGACAGCAGGGCGTGCTAGCCAAGACCCAGCACTGTGGCCTGGACGGCTGCTGAGAGTGTGGATCAGGGTGAAGGGGCTGAGGCCAGCAGAGGMGGTCGGCCAGGAGCAGGAGGAGCCCCCAAGGGCCGGAGCTGCACCGCAGGGAGGTACTGGAGGCGCCTGGGCTTGCTGGAAAAGCCCCCGGAGGGCACAGGGCCAGAAAGACAGAAAGGGGTTGAGATCCTGGCCTGGACTCGGCTCCCCTTCCTCGCTACCCAAGCCCCCAGGGAGGGCAGGAGAGCACACGCGTCATCATGCACCTGCTCGCACACTGGAGTGCGCATGCCCACGCGTCGGGGCTCCCCCAGCCTGGTGCTGCTGAGCGGGGACACTCCCTCTCGCCAGATCCCCGCTCRCTGCCTTCAGTGTCCCCATTTTACACCATGGATCCCACGTGACCAGGCGTGACCTGGGCATCCTCCATTGTGCAGAGTGCTTGGGCCCCTCTCAGAGTCAGGTCCGGAGTGACGTCATCCCACAGGTGGGGCTCACACCTGCAGTTCTCCACATCAACCGTGAAACCCACAGCGAGACTGCAGAACYCAGAGGGAGCAGGCCCATGCCCGCCTGGCCCTTCACCCACTGGAGGGGCCGCAGCACCCCATGATCAAAACCAGTGTGCTCTGCAGCCAGCACCCTGCCTGGACCTGCAAAGGACACGCAGAGGCCACTGAGCCTCACGTCCATGCAGGGCTCTGGCTGAGTGGACGTGCTTCGAACTCACATCCTGCAGCCTACAGGCTCATCCCTTGGGCACTGTGGCCCAGAACATGTGGGGTCATGGCAGGGACAGTGGCAGCCACCAGGTCAGCAGGCCCCGCTTGTCACTAACATGCCCTGGGGCTGCTGCATGATTCCCGAAGGCCAGGAGCATGGCTCCCCATGCACACATGCACGTGAGCACGCTGTGCACGCACACACAGGCACACACACAGTTGTGGTAGGGCAGAGGCAACATGGCAGAGTGCAGGGTGCAGCTTTGAGAACAGGCAGCCCTGGCCTGACTCGGTGGTCAGGCAGGTGGGCTGGGAGCCAGCATGCTCCCCCAGTGGCCTGGGCCGTGTGCAGCCTCTCTGCATTCTGTCTGTACAGCAGGCGTGGTGGACTGACCAGGCTGGGAGGGCCTTGGGGGGGCCTTGGGGGGGCCTTGGGAGCTGTGGTGATGTGGGCAAGAGGGCTCTGTGAAGGCAGCAGCCACACCCCATAGCTCTGTCCTCACTGAGACAGGAGCTGGCAGTGGTCAGGCAGCTCGGGGAAGGTCCCAGGTTGGGGGGTCAGGGGTGGCAGGGGCCTCACACCCGCTGTGTCGRCGGGCGCGGCCCCATCCTTACTTGTGAGAAGAGCCCTGGAAGCTGCCCCGGGAGGTGGCTGCAGGCGGCCGGGCCTGGGGAGGAAGATCCTCTGCAGCCACGACTGGACAGCAGAGGGCCGGGACCTGACTCAGGGTCGCCCCATGGTCTCGTCCACCCTCCACATCCCATCAGGGCACCTGGGTCCACTTGAGTTCCAGATGAAACACTAGTAATTCTTTCCGTGAAAGTGTGTCCCGAGCTCCTCGCGGAAGACGTGCAGACCAGAGAGTTGCTCCCTGTTACCTCCCACTCCGCTCCCAGGGGAGTCTGTATTTGYTGACTCAGGCGCTGGCCCTCGCTGGGACCTGAGCCGCCTCTGAGCCCCGCTCGCTGGGCAGGCAGAAGCTCCATCCCCCCAGGCAGAGGTTGTGCCAGGTTCTCCAAGGATCTCGTGAGCCCTGGGGTGGACGCAGCCCGACCCACGGTGCCTCGCCCTCCCTCCTGGCCCCTGTGGGCCTCAGAGCCTCCGACACACAGCYGACCTCGCGGTCTCCCTCTCAGCAGCGTCCCGCCTTCCCCGTGCCCTTGGTGTCGAAGCCAGGCCCTCTCCTGGGCACCAGATGCCTCCCAGGCAGCCCACCCCTGCTTTGCTCACCTCACGGGCCTGTGCCCTGGGCCCTACATGTCCTGCTGTCCCTGCTGCCGGATGCCCTTCCCTGCCTCGCTGCCCAACGACGGCCTCTCCCTCCTCCACACATGCACGACTCTCCTGTGTCCCCGAGTCCAGGCAGTCTCCCATGTCCCCACGTGCAGGCCACCACTCTAGGCTCTTTGKGGGCAGAGAGGCCTCCTCACCCGTCCCTGAGGCTCTGCCCCTGGCCTGGCCCCAGCACCCATTGGGCACTCCTCAGGCCGCGCCAGGGGAGGCCACTCAGGGCAAGAGAGCAGCCACCGCAGGGCTCGTCCCCTGGAACCCGCCCCGGACCTACCTCAGCACAGGCGAGCGGGAGCCAGCACCCCAGAAGGGAGACATGGGGACGTGTGTGTGAGTGTGCTTGAGTGTGCAGGTGTGCATGTGTGTGTCAAGCACCCATGTGCCTGTTTGTGCATGTCTCTGTGTGTGCATGTAGGCACAGGCACGTTACACACATGCACATGTGTGTCGGGGGCCGACCTGTGCCTACACGCAGGTGTGCACACACATGCCTGCACGTGGGTCACAAGCCTGCAGCTGTGTGCATCATCACACGTGTGCACGTGTGTGCAGGTGTGGGCACAGGGATGCACAGGTGCGTGTGCAGGGATGTGTGCAGCTGTGCACATGCGTGTGGCTGGGCTCCGGTGTGGTTCCCTCKGGCTTGCAGGGAGCCCAGGGCTGGGCGGTCTGTTCTGCTGCRTCAGACCTGGGCTGCCACTTGGGTGGCCTGGGGTGTTCCCAGCAGGTAGGATGCACTCACCCAGGAGGTATCTCTGTGGAGGGTTCAGTAACCACCAGGGGTCCTGGTCCCCTTGTCCTYGTCCTGGTGAGTCTCACTTGGTGCTTCCTCCCACCGTCTCCCAGGGCCCAGCCGCAGGGGCTGGGGCACTGGCGCCCTCTACTGCCCATGCCTTTCTGTTCAACCCAGAGTTATCTTTTCCTAGGTGCCAAGTGATGCAGCCAGCCAGGCTGAGGGACAGGGGACCAGAGGACACTGGGCAGCACCATCTGGCTTTGTGGGTTGGAAAGGTTAACTGATTTGGGTGGATAACAGGGTAAAAGGACCTGGGGGTCAGAGAGGCATCCGTCTGCTGCAGGGCTCCTGAGCTGCTTTCCAGGGGCTGGGTGAGACCAGACGGCCTCAGCAGGAGGTTCTGGGCATGGGCTGGGGCCAGCGAGAGACAATGTGGCCTGTGSGAAGCACCGTCCCACAGACGACCCAACTGTCCCCAGCAGGGACTACCTGGGACAGCCCCATGACCTGACGCGTGCAGTGCAGTGTCCCCAGGGAAACAGCCAGACCCTGAGCCTGGAGAAGTAGCGGGTCTCCCACTGAGTGCTGTGGGCATCCCTCTTTACAGTGGGGATCCGGGGGGCCTGGCCCTCATGACATGCTGGGGGAAGGGACGCCACCTAACATAGCTGTCCCCCTGCCCCACAGGGCACAGGGCACAAGCTCTCAGACATGGAGACAGGTTGCAGCCCTCAGCCCCCCGTGGCAGTTACAGAGCCAAGAAATGTGCCCCAAACCCTGACCTGAGATACCCCCCATGGGCATGCTTGTGCCTGGAAGCAGGCGCAGGGCACAGTTCTCGGGATCCGTCTCTCCCCTTCCAACTTTCTGGGCAGCTGGAAAACTTGAAAGTTCCCATTTGTGTCAGTCAGTCTGGCTTCCCSGAGAGACAACCCAGGAGTCTGTAGAGAGAAGAGGGGAGGTGGTGTAGGGTGGGCTCACACCATCCTGGGGGTTGGGAAGTCCCCCCATCTGCTGACTGTGAGCCCGAGGCCCAGGAGAGCCTGTGTGCAGCACAGTCCAAACCTGAGGCAGACCAGACAGCTGCTGTGAGAGTCCCCGTGCAAAGGCCCGAGGACCCAGAGGACTGGCACCGAGAGCAGGAGGTGGACGTCCAGCTCGGGCGGAGCGAATCTCCCCTCTGCCCTCTGTTCTGCCCTGCCCCGTGGGGCCAGAGGAAGCCACTCAGGTTGGCAGGGTCAGGTTTGCTCTCGGTCCACGTTCAAGGGCACTGGCAGGAAGTGTGCCAGCCCACCTGACAGACGGTCAGCACCACCCCCGGGGAACCACGGCGCCTGTCTGGGGACCTGCCACCCCCATCCGCCCYCCCCCATCCACTTGATCCTGGTGGGTGTGGGACCCTGACCACCCAGGCCTGRGGCCAGTTGAAATGGTGCCTCGTCCAGGCTGCAGCCTGGGCAGCGGTGGGGACATCAGGCAGAGCAGGGCCTGTCCTGGGAGGCCAGACCCGTGTCAGGAGCATCCTTTCCCCAGAACACGATGCAGCGTGGTCTGAGTGTCCAGCCTGATCATCCCAGCGGGTGTGCGTACCCACGAACCCCCTGCTGCCCCTCTCCCCGCCCCGGCAGTCCTGCTGATCCTCCCTTCTGGAGGCTGCACTCGGTGTCCTCGCAGGGGTCCCGGGCGCCGCCCTGGGGACACGTTTCTGCTGGTGTGAGCACTGTGCCTGGGGCGCTGCCCAGCCTCCCCAGGCGGCTTCCCGCGCTCACCTCCAGGGAACGGCCAGGCGCGTTCTCACCCAGCTCTCTGCGCCACGGTCCTTTCCTTGGAGCCCAGGAGTGGGGCTCGGGGTCAGAAGCCAGGTGTGTGGAGCAACCCCCTGGTACTCCACCGACACTGGGGAGAGCTGGCCGCTGCATCCTTCCCAGCGTTGGCCTCGCGGGCGGGCGGGTGCTGGAGAGCCTGGGGCCAGCGGCACCTCCGTGTGCCCTTGGGCTGCACTTACCTGGTGACACCGATTCTGAGCAGATTTTTGTGTGCTGTCCCTCTGAGGTTTGTTGTCCCCACTTAACCCTCTCCTGCCTCTCCATGATGATGGGGAGGGTTCCGTGTGTCGTGGAGACAGCCCTGTGTCACACGCGTGCTTTCCCGCCTGCCTTCTCTACCCCGTCTCGGTTTAGTGGCTACGATGTGGCTGTTTAACTCCTCACTGTTTTGAATCGTCACCATGCCACGTCATGAGCCGTGCAGCGCCTACCAGTGACATTTCCCCCKTCCACTGTGCTGTGTGTCCTCTGAGGTCGCAGGCGCCACACTGGCCAGACAGTCCCCTMGAGCAGCGAGGGCTTTCTCTTGCGCGCCAACGCCCCCGGTGCTCTCTCCCGCCTTTTCCAAGACTCCAGTCTCCACCTGGTGTCACTTTTCCTCAACACAGTGATTCCCTCAGTGTCCCTGCGGGTCACTCTGTCCCCTCATCAGAAAAGCTCTTCTCGCCCCATCTCTGAGGCTTATTCTCCTGGCTGCAGAATTCCAGGTCCTCACCTTATCCTCAGTCACCCTGACTACGTCTTCCTGCTGCCTCGGGCTCCAGAGTCCCTTGTGGGGAGCTGGTCCCTGGAGCTCCGCATCCCCCGTGGGGAGCTGGTCCCTGGAGCTCCGCGTCCCCCGTGGGGAGCTGGTCCCTGGAGCTCTGCGTCCCCCGTGGGGAGCTGGTCCCTGGAGCTCCGCGTCCTGAGCGGGTGGCACAGGGCTTTTGTTTCCCTTCTGCTCAGGGTCCCTGCTCGGCCTCAGCCATCACTTTCTGTATTTTCTGTCCCTCTCCTGTCCCCCTCATTGGGTGACTCTGGCACTGCACACCACAGCGGGCCCCRGGCCTGGCCTTTCTCTCCTGCGCTGGTCAGTGCTCTGGACCRTCTGTGATTGGCTCCCTCTCTGCTCAGTTGTCAGGGCGGCGCTGGCCCTACAGGAGGTGTGGGGCTGCAGTGCCCAGTCCTCCCKCCGCAGGGCTTCCAGGGCCCTTCTCGGAGCCTCCGCAGCCCTGGGCGTTTCTTGTTCCCGCCACGTCCTCCCTGTGGGTTCTTGTCATGTCACTGTGACGTCGCTGGCCGGCTCCACGTTTGACTGAGGTCCCACGTTCTGTTGGATCCACGCYCTGCGCGTCAGGCCCGTCCCTCGTGTGCTGGGCCTGGTGACTGGGTGGTGTTTTCCTCCTCTCGGGAGTGACCGGCACGCTTCTGGCAGGACTCTCCCTTCCTGGTCGAGCACCTGGCCTCTGGGGGCTCGGCCCCAGGCCCGGCTTCCATGAGTTTGACTCGGTTCTGCTGCAGCCCAGGGTGGTCTTTGGTCCGGGCATGTCCTGCTCCTGGGGGGCAGCCCTTCCGTGGCTTCAGTGGGGATCCTGGCGTCTTCCAATCCTCTGTCTTCTGTGGTCAGGCCCCAGCGCCTCCTCCMGGGTCCAGGCAGCAGCTGACAGTGTGGCCTCCCCGCCGGGGCTCAGCCCTGKCTCCTGGGACTTTGTCACCTGCAGTTGGGGAAGTGGACGGGTTTGAGAGGCACTGAGGCCATCGGAGCTCTCTGCCTGTGCGTGTCCCCTGCTGGAGCGCCCTTCAGGTGCGGATCCCACACCAGGTGGTCAGAGGTGTGGTCCCACCTCTGCCTGCTGCGGTGCCCTCTGGATGCTGGGGACTGGGTGGGCTTCTTGGGGACACCGTGCAGTCTGCCCAGTCACCAGCGGGAGGGCCAGTGGACACAGGCCTCTCCACCAGGACCAGAAAGGGGGTCAAAGAGAAAAAGCCACAGTTTCAGTCTCGCGAAGCCTGCACTTCCCGCCTCCCGGCCCCTGGCTCAGAGGCCCAGCCACACTCACCCTTCTGCCACGTTCCTGCCCGTCCCCACCCCTGTGCCACCCTCCTGGCCATGCCCGACAGGGCGCTGCCTGCTGTGCCTCTGGCCCTCCCTCTGAGGGCTCGGACCCTGGGGGGCTCCTCAGGCCCCCCCCCTGCACCACCCCTTATCCACACACCCTTCTCATGGGCCGCGTGGAACCGGCTCCGGCAAAGACCTGGCTCCCCCTCCCCCTCCCCCTCGAGGGGACAAGTGACGTGGGGGCAGCACAGAGACAGCGGGCTCTGTCTTAGGGTCAGCAGAATTCCATTCACATCCCCGACYGGGGACAGGAAGCTCCGGGTGTCAGGAGGGACCAGAGGGATGGGAGCCCTGCCTGGGGAAGGGGGTGGGGGCCTCGGGGGGTGCACCTGCCCGGGGTCCATGCAGGAGTGTGGCCTCAAGGCTGCCACCTAGGGACACCTGCGAGTGGCACTGGGCATGGTGGGTGGCTTGCTGGGGTCTGTCTGGGCAGTGYCCAGGCTCACTGGCCCTGCTGTGCTGGCCGCTGCTCTGTGCTAGACCCTCGGGGCTGCCGACTGGGAAGTCTTCCGCATCGGGGACAGGCTCTTCCTCGCCGTCGCCAACAGCCACAGCTACGAYGTGGGAATGCAGCTGCGCAACGATTCCTACACCATCAACTCCGTCATCTACGAGCTGAACGTCACTGCCCAGGCCTTTGTCAAGTTCCAGGACATCCCCACCTGCAGGTACTGGGCGGGCTCACCTGCACCCTGCTTGGGCACACTGGCTGCAGCAGGCCACCATGCTGGGCCTGGCATCCGTTCCAAAGCCGACACTGCACGGAGCACAATTTCTCTGCACGTTTGTGGTTTTGCCCTGTGCRGAGGAGCCCGGGGCAGGTCTGTGCCCCTCTGGGGAGGAGGTAGCGGTACCTCCAYGAGGAGCCGTGGCTGGTCTGCTTGCCACAAGCAGGAGGCCCCAGGCCGCTGCAGTGGCTCCTGAAGCTGCCCCTCTAGCCAGGACAGCAGGTGCCCTCCCCCGTGTAGGCGCCCTGCCCAGCAACTTCAGGAGACAGAGGCTTGTTGAGGCAGGAGTGAGGCTGGCGGTGTGGACGGGGTCAGTGTGGCCACCTGGTGCTGGGCCCAGTCCAGCTGGCTCTGCAGGGCACTGAGGCCTGCGCAGTGCCCCCTGCGGCCCCAGAGCTGAGCAGCTGTAGCCAGCCYAGGCTTGACCTGGGGAGGGACTTCTAAGTCTTGCTTGAAAATGTGGCTGAGTCTGCATCGTTCAGACCCCAGAACAGAGGGCTTCGTCCRTCACGTTTAAAACCAGAACCCGGCCAGTGTCAGCCCCAGAGGGAGCAGGGCCTCCCCAGCTTTCCTCAACGTTTGAGTCCTTCAGGGAACACTCTCAGGCCCCTCCTGAGGCCAGCCTGTCCACCCTGGAGACACAGCGAGAGCATTTAGGAAAGGGAATCCAGGACCCGCTCTTCGGAGGAAGACAAGCGGGGTGCCATGGGGTCCTGGGATCCAGCGCCAGCCATGAGCTCGGCGACCATGCATCACGGTGGAAACAGAGTGTGCGGAAGGGACACCCCAGGCCACTGACAGTGTCGCTCCCAGAAACGGGCAGGCAAAGAAGGACCCTCCCTTTATGCCCACCACCTTGGATCGTTGATTTACAAGGTGCACAATGTCACCTTACTRATGGCTCAAGTATTTCTTAATGAAAACAGAAAACGATCCCCAGAATAGAATAAGAACTAGTGGTGGCACCTGGTTCAGAGCCAGGAAGGAGCTGCCTGTGGCCTCCTGGGTCACCCTGGCTCCAGCAGCAGAGCAGGGCCCAGGAGCCACACCTCTGTGCCTGGAAGCCACGCTGTCCATCCAGGCCTCCTGCTGAGAGTGAGGTTCAGAGCCACGCACACCTTAGACACTTGGGGTGACGTTGAGAGTGAAGCCAGYGTGGGAAGGAGTGGCAGCAGGAATGGGTCAGGGGGCGAGGCGGTCACGCATGGCCACGCCAGGCGGCCTCGGCTCCGGGCACCCGGTCTCAGCCTCACCCCCACTGTCTCCGCAGCGCCCTGGACTGGGAGTTCTTCTCCGTGGGAGAAGATCACTTCCTGGTGGTYGCCAACTCCTTCGATGGAGAATCCTTCTCAGTGAACAGTATTATCTACAGGTAAGGGCCAGCCGAGGCCAGCCTCCTCCTCCCCACTCGCCTTCCCCTGCAGATGGCCACCAGCTCAGCAGGGCCAGGCCAAGAGAGTGTTTCCCAGGGCTCTGTCGGCCAGTGCCTCAGCTGGTGCTGGGCCGTGCCTGCTGGGAGCCGGCTGGGCCACAGCCCGATGCGGACTGACCGCTGGAGGTGCAGCCGGTGGGCTGCTGGTGGGAGTTCCTGGAGTCCAGCTTTCCTCCGGCAGACTCCAGGGCGGAACTGTTCCACGTCTTCTAGGTGTTTTCACTGATTTAAGTATAATGAGTGGGGACTGTGTCACYCCCAGATGCTTAGCAGTGTTTGTGACCATCACTGACCAAGTCATCAGGCCCAGCGTTTCTCTTAAGAGGACTAGGAGATAGGATCACATCRGGGAAGAAGGGCTCCTCTGCCCTCGGATTCTCAGGCTTCTGTGGCTTATTTGGTATTCTTAACTAGTAGAGCGTTCCAGAACGGTCCTGTAGCAGCAGTCGTGGTCAGCAGCCCTGCCCCCACCTCTCAAGTTCACATGGGGCCTCATGGCCACAGGCCACCGATAGGATGCTACCTTGGGCAGGTCTGAGCCGCTGGCTCCTTGGGGTTGGTTCTGCTGCTCTGTTCACGTGACAGTGTACGAAGCAGAGCTCCCCGTGTCTCTGTGACTGGTGCCACTGGAGTGGGTGTCACCTGTGTCACCTTCCCTGGGTCCCAGGTTCCACGTCCAGAATAGGAAACGCGACGGGGCTGTGGTCTCCCTGGGGACTCCCCTTATCCAGTGAGTCTCGAGCACCACACACAGATGCACCGCTGCGGGCGCTGCACGGGGCCAGGGTCGTCTGAAGAACCCGCTTCTCTGTGTTTCATGAGGACCTTAAACTGCTCAGGTGGCTCCCAGGCCTGGCACCTTTCCAACGGTGTCCCAGAGACTCTCCAGGCTCCCTGTTATTGGCCTGTCCAGGGCTCCACCTCTCTCGAAATGGAGGTCATCTGTGTTTCACAGGGAAAAAAATCATCAGTTTTCTCAGAAYTTCAAACTTACTGCAGTAGACTGTCCACACAATCAAGCGATTTGACAATGCATGTGGAAGAAAGAGTTTTTAGAGATGGCCAAGAAATTTCTGAAAAAGAGCAGTGCAGGACGGAACCACAGGGGTGAACAGGGTGGTCCTTGCTAAGAATGGACACCTGATGGTGGGCTGGGGGACTCCGGGGGCGCCTGCCTCCAGGCCTGAGCCCGCTGCATCCCTGCACCACCACATCAGTGAGGGAAGATGTAAAAAGGGGTGCGGAGGTCACAGTCCAGAGGGCCCACGGTTTGTCGTCCCTTAGTGTGACCTGTGTTCAGCAGAAGGAAGGGCACACTGTTCTGTTTGGTTTGGGTTCTGCAGATTGAACCCAGGGGCCTTAGCTGCTGAGCCACATCCCCAGCCCTTTTCTAAACTTTTTATTTAGAGACAGGGTCTCGCTGAGTTGCTTAGGGCCTGGCTGTTGCTGAGGCTGGCTTTGAACTCGTGATCCTYCTGCCTCAGCCTCCCGAGCTGCTGGGATGACAGGCGTGACCATGGCGCCCAGCCGGATGCATGGTTTAATAAAATGATTCTGTGTCGTTCTCCATCCATCTGGCAGAAAACGAAGCTAACCCTCGTTCCTACCCACATACAAAAACAAATCTTAGGTGAATTAAACATCCAAGTGTAAAAATTCAGCCAGAAAATGTAAGGCTTGGCTCAGCCTCCAAGTGAGGGAAGGGGCGGCTGGCGGCCCACACACAGAGCTCCTGTGGGAGAGACCACCGGGGGCCAGGACGGAGCCGACCCGCAGACCTGGAGGAAGCGTGAGGAGAAAGGGTTAGACTCGGGGCCCAGGGAGGCTGTGAGCAGCGACCTCGGATGACGGGGACCTGCTCTCAGACGTGACCCTGTGCATTTACGGGAAGTGATCCAGGAAAACATGGAGACTGAAGCCACACGTGCCCTTGACCCAGGAGCCCTCCGGGGACGCCATCCTGCGGGACGAGGCCACCTGTGCACAGACACACCCCCGTGAGGGCCTTGCGGGGGCCTGCTCACGCCTGGGCGGGGGCTGCCTGGCCGGGGCTGCGGGCAGGGCTCCCAGGGCCTGGAGCTCGGGCGGTGCTGTGTGGGGTGTCTCGGGGCCTGCGGGGCAGCCCGCACCCCACTGCCAAGGTGACCCCACAGCTGCACCCCTTGGGGCCGCCAGGATTCCTGGCTGTCCTCCGCAGGTTTCAGGGTGCGTGGGGCAGGGTCCTGGGGGTAGGAGGGAGCTGTGGGACCCTCTAGGGGCCGCGTCCCCTCTGGGCCTCAGTTTCCCACTTTCTCAAGATGAGAACCTCCCCCCCATCCCCACCCCTCCCGGGAGCCCTCCAGGTTCAGCAGGGGCGCGTCACCGCCACACGTGGCCGGGGAGGTGGGGACTAGAGCCCGTCTGGAGGCGAGCTGGTGACCGGGTGGTCAGGAGCGTGGGGCAGGAGGCTGCCGCCCACCCACACGGGCCAGGCTGACACGGTCCCCCCACAGGTGGCAGGGCTACGAGGGCTTTGTGGCCGTGCACAGCCTCCCCACCTTCGGCTGCAGGGACTGGGAGACCTTCGACACCTCGGCCGGCTCCTACCTCATCTACTCCAGCGCCAAGGAGCCCCTGTCCAGGGTCCTGCGGCTGAGGACCACCTGAAGGACGGCGTCCAGAGCAGGGTGGCCGGCGGGACGTGGCCCCTCTGTACCTCTCTGAGCAGGGCTCTCCACCCGGCAGGTGGCCCTGCAGAGCTGCATTCCTGGTGACCACKGCCATGTTCCAGATGACCAGGCATCCTTCAGGCTAAGGCCCAGGGCTGTCCCCTGGTGCTCCCAGCCTGGTCCAGCAGGGATTCTGCCATAAAGGAACAATTATACCAAGTTTTACCTCAGACACAGCAGGGCCCCTGTGCGTCCCTGGCCTCGGCCTCCCCCTGGTGCGTCCCTGGCCTCCGGACAGTCCCCCGTGCAGCCCTCGCGTGCATCGGGATGGACACCTATTTATTGTGTGTGATTGTGGAATATATTTATACGGCTCTTTACAAAAAGCAGGGCGGTGTCTCTGTGCTTCCTTCGGGGACCCGACTCTAGCAGTGGGGCCCAGGCACAGCCCTTGGTCACCAGAGCAGGCAGACTGCCCCTTCCCCAGGGARCCCTGGCCCTGGCCCCGGTTTACCCACAAGGGCATCGGGCTCACTGAGCTCAGAATCCCGAGCCCACGCCGGCAGGTGTCCCTCCCATCCCCAGGCCCCCACCTGGAGACGGGAGAGCCTTCCTGGCTGCACCCCAGGCCACCACCCCCTTGTCCCCAGGGGCCAGTGTTCCGCAGATGGCCTCAGAGGCCTCCCTGGGCTAGGGCTGGCTCACTCCTTCCCACAGTAATGCCCCGACCCTCTTCCGGCCTGGAGACCTTCTACCTCCCTGGATGGCCGTGGAGAGGGACRTAAGACCCACCCTGGAGCCGCGAGGAGGCCAGCAGGAGGGGGATTGCCACTGGGCAGGCCCCTGGGTTGGAGGTGCTCCRGCCAGACCTTGGAGGGTAGGCCCTGTGGCCCACAGGGTGGAGAGGCAGGTCCAGGGAGGGGGAAAGACGCAGCGCGCAGTCCAGGGAGGAGCGGCTCGGGCGTGCCAGGCCCGCCGTGTCCTCACCAGCCTGCCGAGAGCAGACACCCAGGGGCCCCTGCGACTGGTGACAGGGCTGTGAAGGGGTGCTCAGGGCCACGCTCCAGGGCCACGCGTCCGGATGGTCTTGGAATGAGGGGAGTTTGTTGGCTTGAATTTCCAGGCAGGTTCCTGGGTGTTTCTCTATTATCATTCTCTGAATCTGAACATTCTGGCATCTGTGAAGCCCTTCAATACGGAGACCTGACAGGAGAGACACCTGACAGATCAGAAAACGCACACGCTCGAGGAAACCTCCTCACAGTCTGTCCAAACACAAAAGACAGGAGCCAGGGCCCAGGTGTGAGCCAAGGCCCCAGATTAAACCTGCAGAAACGGTTTGGCCCCTTAGAACAGGCCGAGAGAGCCCTGCGGGAGGGAAGTCCAGGAGCTGCAGGTTKACTCCGGAMGCAGCAGGAAGCCAGACAGCCCCCAGCACGCAGGGAGGGAAGGGCCATCCCAGCGGTCAGCGTCCCTGAGGGAAATGACCCGGCACCGAAACCRGAACCCTTGTCACGGGACATCCACAAATCCACAGCCATTTCCATCTATACACACATATGCAGAGGGCTCAGTGAAAAAGAATCCC